AGTCCGGGTGGTGAACTATTCACAACCCTCTTATTAATTGGGATCTGGGTCTTGGTCCTCTTGATCTGAAATAGTTAATGAAGGGGTGAGCTATACTAGCCCAGTAAAAATATCACACTACTCACTGATACAAAAAATGAATGTTGGTAAAAATTATAAAAATAACTGATGAAGCTCTTAATTTAAGTAAATTCATTTATCATAAGTAAAACTATTTATTGCATAATTACTGTTATGAGATTTCTAAAACGACCTATAGAGACAATAGTTCAACAATATCATAATCTCATATTCAAGTAAGCAAGAATAACAACTTTTCTTTTTTTATTTGTCTATTGGTATCCATGGGGATCTATAGGAATGTCCCACTACGCGTGACTAACATCCAATCTTGTCAACTAACCGGCCGTCCCCATATCCCGTTTGGTATAAGTACCAAAAATACAATCTCTTAATACCCCGTCCGGTATGAGGGTGAAATGGATCGTCCCCATACCCCGTCCGGTATGAGCGCCAAAAATATTAATCTTCGATACCCCGTCTGGTATGAGGCGACGTTCACAATAGAGTTCCCTATGTACCCAGTCCGTCAACCATCTCTTAGGATATCCAGTAAGGCTCACACTTATTCATTCACTTAATCAATCAATTTTCTGTTTATATTTAATTTTTAGTTTTATAATTTAATCATAAATCAACGCAAGATAAATAATACATGCATAAAAAAAATACAACTGAATCATTTTACCAATTCCAGTATAGTATCATGCATTTAAAGCTGTAAAATCAATCAATCAATCAGTTAAAGATGACAATAATAATAAATAACCGGTTCTGCTTCCGTTAGTAACCTGTAATTAATTCTCAAAATTTTTTAAATTACGCAAAATATCGTATTATTGATAATTAAACTTCAGTTTCATAACAGGAAATTGTGAAGGATTCTTATATGAATCGGTGTCTGAAACATTGAACTTTTTACTGCACCTACTTGCGGTCCCCGAGTTTCCTAAATTTTTCTGCAGAGATTAAAACATGTTTCATGTACCTAAAAATACTACAAAAATCTAAAATCGGTGTTAAAAATCTTTTTTGGCCAATTTTGAAATTTCGGCATGGTGGTACCGCTGTGCTTATGTGACAACACTGCTGCTCGCGGCTTGGCCATTTTCGGTCAGTTTTAGCCGGTTCGGCTAATTTTATACCCATCCTTGCCGGAAAACACGTTATGGGGCCTCAGTTGGCCCAAAAAAATCGAAAAATAAAAACTTACCCGCGGCGAAATTTTCCAGTACGGCAATTCCGCCGGCTCACTTTCGCGGTTGAGTGTTTTTCTTCAGTCAACTTGTAAAAAACAGAATGATGAACATAATTGTGGAAAAATTGCACGAAATTGGAAATGGGAAGGGGCTCTTCGGAGGTGATTTTTAGTTTTTTCTACAGCAGCGCCGTCGGGTTTTACCCTCAATTTTTGGCTCATCCACCATTTCTTTTACTTTAATTTGGCCATAGAGGTGTTTAAAATCAAATTTCGAGTGAATAAGAGAATTTTTACCTTTTTTGGCTATCAAAGGTGGCTTTGGGGCGACGGCAGACGATGATCGGCTCCCTTCTTCGACGACTGGTTTTTTTTCTCCAGCGGGGGACTGGCGGTTAGGGTTTGGATTCAGTGTGAAGTGAGATATTTATACCCGTCTCTCTTAAATCTAGACCGTTTATCGTACTTGATGTCGACCGTCCGATCGCATTTAAAGAGAAAATGAATGTGACCGTTTATCGCGATTTGATCTGGACCGTACAATTACATTTAAAGAAGAAACGAATTTTGACCGTTTATCGCGTTTAATCGTAACCGTTCGATTGTGCCCGAGGAGGGAACGAATCCGGACCGTCCACGTGCACAGGAACACATCCAGACCATCCAATCGCGAGCACACGGATTCCCAGCATGGCCTCCCGCGTGGCACCGAGTCGGCTTGCCTTACCACACGGTGCGCTCCGGTTCGTCGGAACTGCTAACTGGGCGGTCCTACATGGTGTAATTTTTTTTAATTGCATTTTGACCCACAGGTTTTGATTTTTCTTTCAAAAATACCTCCCAAATCCAAAATTTTACCCATTTTTTTCAAAATTATTTTTAATTTCATCTCCACCTATTTTTTTTCCTAATTTTACATTAAATAAAAACTTAAAAATTTAAAAATTATATTTTTATATATTTATTATTATTATTTTATTTTATTTTTTATTTTTTTATTTTTTAAAATTAATCTCGTGTCAAATTTTGAGCCTGGGTATTACACATTAAGTTAATGATTTTATGTAAAAATATTAATATTCATATAGTTTTCCAAGTTAATCTCCATGATATGATTAAGTTTTCAAATTGACTCGAAACATTGGAATTTACAAACTTATCATTAAGGTCGATTCCTTATACCTCAAGTAGGCCCTCTTGAACCATGTTGGTCCTCGAACGCAGACTCGAGCAAATCTAATGACCTTAAATTACTTTTTCATCTAGAGTGAGATATCCAAATCTCACATATTCACGGAAATATATATATATCGATCATTCAAAAATTTTTGTCCGTGACATATCTTATTGTCTTACAAAATTGACCCAACCTCCTAATAATCTTAAAATTCATCTGTACTTAGACGATTGTAATACTTTCTGGACAAATTAACAGCGTGATTGTTCTTTTTGGTATATTTCACTCATTTTTTTTTCTTTTTTAAAAATTGAAGAAACTAATATAAATTATATTCTTGTTGTTTTAATTTTTAATTTCTGTTCAGTTTTAGCCTTCAACATAAATTGTTATAGAAGTCAAAGTCAAGTCTCTTTTAATTCTACATAAATATAGTTGGTGCAATATTAACTTTTTTTTTTTTTTTAATCACTTGATAATATCTTTTTCTTATTAATAAAAGAAAACTTAGTAGTTTATCGTGATAAAGTTGAAGTATTATTATACAGAAAACCAGTCTAATTTAAAATTAATTTTTGAGAGAGCTTTTTGGAAAAACTCTTTTGGATCAACACTTCATTTTCTTGTAACCTAACCATTCAATCTGTGCACCAACCAACCTTCCTAAAGAGTATCTAACTTCAATCCAAAATTTTATATTAAAAATGAGCAAAAGGCAGTAATATAAAAGAATAATTTTGATATTAATTCAAGTTATTCCAATGATTCAATCACATGATCCAATCTCAGGAATATACATATATGTGTATGTGTGTATGTGTGTATGTGTGTGTGTGTGTGTATATATATATATATATCAACATATTTATTTATATTAATTAAAATATTTACCAGTCACCAATTAAATAAAAAACTGTGGGTCCTTAGTTCTGTTGTGTGAAAAAAGAATGTGATTATGATATCCAAGTGCCGCATAAACAAACATTAGTTTACAATATTTAACTCAAAATGAAGGAGAATTATTATGTGATTGCTCACTAATTTTTTTTTTGTTTTTTGTTAAAAAAAAAAAATAGAAAGTACCAAGGAATATGGGGGGTGTTTGGTTTCATGAAAATAACTTATTCCTGCCATGGATGATGACAAAAGTATCTAAATCACAGATTACTAAAAGTAACTAATCACATAATACACATGAAGAGGAGGAAGCTTAAACAGTCTTAATGGAATTTAGCAAAAACCCATCATGCACAAGGCACCAACTCTGCCACTGTCAATTGCGTAAGCTCATTGTTTCCTAAAACAAACCACAATGCACCAATTTTGTCTTTGTCAATTGCGTGAGCTTGTTTGTTTGCATTAATTAAATAAATGAAAGAATTCATGGAATTAATTAAAAAAATTTAACTTGAAGTTAAGTGAGATGAGAATCGGAGGGGTGACGTGGGCATGAAGAATTGTCGTAAGATACCCACACTAGAAATTATCAAATATATGGAGAGGTGAGGTGGTATAAGTCAATGAAGTAGTAAGCCAAATCTCAACCTCTAAAACCATTCGTGCCAAACAACATTCATCATTTTATACTGACACCTAACCACTTCCTCTTCATATTGTACCTACTAATACTGCAGCTGCTGTTACTGCTACGGGATAACTAGTACTAGTCATTGTGTCAATTCCATTCGAAAATCAAGTCAGTATATTACATAGTATTTTTTAAAATGATATAATATAATAACTATGTAATATAATCCCATTGTTTTATTTCCTGACCGGATGAAAAAATTTAAAAAAAAAAAATCCTGAATTTTAAAATTTCTACTCCTGGCTTATTAACAACCATAATCAAGGGGAATGACCTAGTTTTTTTTTTGGCTTTTATTGAATCCAGGATTATTAGTGACAGGGCTAAAATATTCAGAGATGGAAAATTCAGCTTTTGTTAATCAAGTGGAGGGTTGAGAGAGAGAGACTTACAAGGGGAGATTTAGTTAATTGGAACTGAGAGGAAGTTATAAGACAAACTCCACATTATTCAAAGAGATTAAAACCAAGAGATCACATTCCCTCTTTTATGCAAGTGAATCCCCATATCTATAGACAATTATGGAAATCATTTAAGGATTTAGCTCCTCTGATTCTTTTCCTTGGCAACAAAATGGAAAAATACTGAATTACATATGTTTATACATAAACAAACATAAGATTCATCAATCTGAAAATACAAACGCAGTCACCAAACTGGTCTACAAGGAAAACAAAAACAACAAAATTATGAGGACTGAGACGGACAATTAGAAACATAACCAAGTTGATAATGGTTAAACAACAGATTACTGTAGTCCAGCATTGCATGATTGGACTGAGGACAGACGCAACTCCTAGAATGGCAACCAGGAGAAAACACATGCGCTAGCTGACAATTGCTAAATCTAAATAAATGGTTTCAAGGCTGTACACATACTCCTCCTGCATCAAAACTCCGTATCAAAACTGCCATAAAAAATTGTTAATTTACAATAAATTAGAAAAAAGAACACATACAGGTATCTATAAGGATCTCTTATACCAAAAAAAGGAAAAACTATGAACAAAACGCTGACCTACATAAGGAGGACCTATACTAAGGAAATATATTATGTATTGTAATAATCATCATCAAGCTAGAGTGTATATATCATACGGCTTAAATTTTATACGAATAGAAAGTTCCTTGTAAGGATTTTGTGAACATATCATTCATTAGTCTGCTAACTTAACATGAGTCATCTGAACCACATTATGTAAAACATTTAATAAATTACAATTAACTTTAATATGTTTAATTCTCTCGTAGAATACAGGATTTAAAGCAATATAGATTGCTAATTTGCAATCATATAGCAACTCCATAGATTACGATTTAGAAAACTAAGTTCGTGAAATAGATGAATCAACTCAAATCACAGGTAGTATAAGCCATATTTTGAAATTTTGACTCAATACTAGATTTGGTACCTACAGTATGCTTCTTGCTCTTCCAAAGCACCAGGCTACCACCCATAAAGTCACAGTAACCTGTAACAGTTTGATAGCTAGAAGCAAAAATAGCCAGCCCCAATTAACATGCTCATCATTCTTATAGGGTAATCCAGGACCAAGTGCACCTTTAAGATAACTCAAAATACGTATAAGCAAAAATAGCCAGCCCCAATTAACATGCTCATCATTCTTATAGGGTCATCCAGGACTAAGTGCACCTTTAAGATATCTGAAAATACGAATAATGGCTCTCCAATGACTGTTCCGAGAAGAATCCAAAAATTTATTTATGAAACTAGCGTCAAATGAAATGTTTCAATAAGTCAACATGAGGTAACTGTCAGATACCTTGGTCATGGTAGTAATCTGATATTGAAGAAGAAGAAGAAGAAAAGCAAGAGAAAGGAGAGTCAACAAAGGAGAAGAAGATTGAAAGGATAATTTATTATTGAATTTCTAATGATTACATTGCATAAGAGAATACATTATTTATAGATGGCGTGACAGAGATGATTGGCGAAGCAGGTGGAATTGTCTGGATTCGATGTGGCGATGACCTCTTCCTAATTTGGCGACAGCAATCTTGGGATCTCTTTTGATTGCAGGATCTCTTCTGATTCAGGGTTTAATGTGGTCAAACCCTAACCTTAATTTCTTAGAATGACTCTTTTGCCCTTCTACATGTGTTTTTCCTTACTCGTGGTAAACAATGGGTTCTTTGACAATATCCTCCCCCTCGAACATCAACCTTATCCTCAAGGTTGAATTGTGGAAATTGTTGCTGAAGGTACTCATAATCTTCCCAGGTGCATCCATCGGTGTCGGTGTCTTCTCATTGTATTAGCCCTTGTTTAATAGGCACGAATCCTTGCATTATGACTCAGTGCTGTAACACTTGCCTCGATTGGACACTAAACTCGTCTACCCTTATATTATTAGGTAAATCTTGGATTACCTTGCCTCTACTTTCAATGTAATTTTTAAGTTGTCATACACATAATACTGGATGGATTCTGGAGTTAGGGGGTAGCTGAAGTTTGTAAGCAACTGACCCAACCTTTTGTGTTATTTGGAATGGCTCGTAGTAGCGTGGTGATAGCTTGGATCATTTGGTTTGTCTTGTTGCACTTTGTTCATATGGTTGCAACTTGAGTAATACCCAGTTCCTGTTCTTTAAAGCTTCTCTCACTGCGATGTTTATCTGCATATTTCTTAGTTCGGACTTGTGCCTTCAGAATTTGTTGCTGGATTCTTTTGTTGGTTTCTTCTCTTTTTGCTAATAATTCTTCTACTGCAAGAGATGCTTAGGCAAATTCAGCAATATCTAGAAAATGAGGCACATACGCATAGAGAGCTTGGAAATATGTCATTTTGAGGCTTGCATGATAAGTTGTGTTATACCACCACTCAGCAGAAAATAACCATTTCGCCCATGTTTTTGATTGATCATAAGCCATGCATCTCAAGTACATCTCTAAACATTAGTTTAGTTGTTCAGTTTGACCATTTGTCTGAGGATGATAAACAGTACTGAAATGTATGCAGGTCCCCACCGATCTCATTAAGTCCTTCCAAAAAAGGCTTGTGAATAAGGGATCCCAATCTGACACTATGACCTATGGCACTCCGTACAATTTATGGATGGTTTCTATAAGAAGTTTGGCGACCTTTTGGGCTGAGAAGGGATGCTTTAGAGAGATAAAGCATTTATACTTTGTGAATCAGTCTACTACCATCATAATTGCATCCTTGTTGTCGGATTTGGGTAGTTGTTTGATGAAATCCATTGATATGTGAGTCCAAGCCTAGTCAAGGATTAATAACGGTTGCAAGAGTCCTGGAAGAGCTATCTTTTCATTTTTACAATGCTGATAAGTATTGCATTGTTGTACCCACTGAGTAACTAGCATTTTCATGTCGTTCCAATAGAAGTGTTGCTTGACTCTTTCATAGGTAGTCTTGATCCTGGAGTGACCCCTTATGGCTGAGTTATGACATTGTTGGAGTATCTGATGCGAAGACGTTTGTTATTGCCAAGTACTATCCTTCCTTTATACCAAAGGATCCCATTAGATAGTGGAATGGAGCTTGCCTTGTGGGAAATTAGGAGCTCACTATAACCTGCTGTATATCCGAGTCATTTTCATACCTTTTAGTCACTTCACTTATCCAAACAAGGGTGACAGCAGTAATGGTGTATAGTACCTCTGCAGAATTCTCCTAGTATTCCCTTCAAGTTAAAGCATCTGTAATTGTATTGGTGATTCCTTGTTTATATTGTATGGAATAATTCAATGCTAACAATTTCAGGATGCCTTTCTGTTGGATCATGGACTTTACTCTTTAATCTAATATGTATTTGAGACTGCGCTGATCGGTTCGAATGATGAAAGAAACTCCTTCTAAGTAATGGCGCCCCTGATTGACTGCATATAAGATTGCCATGAGTCTTTCTCGTAAACTGACTTAGATTGATTCCTCAGACTTAGTGCCTTGCGGATAAAGGCTGTGGGTACTGCTCCCATCTCCTTATCACTAGCACTTTTTTCTATAGTGAATGGATCTCCTAACTTTGAAAGTCGCAATACCGACTAGAAGTCCTTGCTTTCTTTAATTGTCGAAAAGCTTGTTCAGCCTCAGGGTTCCACTGGAATGTCGCTTTCTTTAAGAGGTCTGTAAGAGGTTTGGCTATCGTGTAATATTGTCGAATGAATTTGCAATAGTAACTTGTGAGACCCGAAAACCCCTTAAGAGCCTTGAGTGTTTGTGAGGTTGACCAGTTAACCATGGCCTCAATCTTTTTTGGATCGCTCTGAACCTTATTCTTTGAAATGACATGCCCCAGATACTCTACTTAAGTCTGCAGGAAGAAACATTTAGATCTTTTAGTATATAACCTGTGTTATCGTAATAACTGCAGTACCTGTTCAAGTTGACATAAATGTTCTTATTCGTTAGAGCTATAACTGAGTATGTCATCGAAGAAAACGAGAACAAACTTCCAGAGAAACTCTCTAAAGACATGATTCGTCAGGGCTTGAAAAGTGGTTGGAGTATTGGTTAGCCCAAACAACATTACCCTGAATTCATAGTGGCCGTGATGAGTCCGAAAGACCATTTTTGGGATATCTTCTTCCTTAACACAAATCTAGTGGTACCATGCTCTCATATCAAGTTTCGAAAAGATGGAAGCACCAGGCAATCCATCAAGTAAGTCATCGATGATAGCAATTGGGAATTTATATTTTATTGTTAGTGAATTAAGTTCCCGATAGTCCACAAAGAATCTCTAGGTTCCATCTTCTTTTTGAGTAGTAAAACTGGTGACGAGAATGGACTTCAATTGAGTCAGATGAAGGAATCCTGTAACATTTCATGCACCTGTTTTTCTATTTCATTTTTTTGAAAGAAAGAGTACCAGTATGATCGAATGTTGACAGTTGCCTCTTTCTGAATGAAGGGAATAGCATGACCAAACTCACGAGGTGGCGGTAGTCCTTTAGGTTCCTCGAAGACATCTTGGAATTGTTCTAGCAAGGAATTCAGTGCTTTGTTCTGAATGGGTGTAATTCTTTCCTCTGGATTAACCTCTATGATTAGGAACATTGCACCCCCTTTCAGTTTGTTTTTCTGTTTGCCCTATTTTCTTGCAGAAGTTTCCTTTAGTTGACCCGAGATTTCACTCCCCTTTAAATTATGTGCGAGTCACCATAATGAAATTCAACAGTGGCATGAAAAAAATCAAATATCATTAGGCTAAACTGTTTCCTCCAATCCACCCCTAAAATCATAGCATATCCGCCAAGTTGACTAACCCCTAAAACCACTGATCTTTTACCCATTAACTACCATCAGTGTCAATGGTTTATCGCTGACCACTTGAATTTTAATTCCTTTTGCCACTTCCTCATCCAAGAAGGAATGTGAGCTTCCACTATAAAGCAGTACTAGTACATCACGACCGGACAATGTCCCTCTGAGTTTTAGGGTATTGCCCGCTGAGATACCCTCTATGACTTGTATGGACAGGTTTGTGGTTAAATTCTCTTCTTCAACTATTTCTTCCTCTGTTGCCAGTTCCCCTTGATTGAAGACTTCTTCCATTGCCATCATGGTTTTGTTTTGGCATCGGTGTCCTAAAAAATAACGGTCTCCGTATTTGTAACAGGAGGTTGTTGGTCTCTTAGCCTTTGTTTCTTTTCCCATATGCTCATAGTTTTGACTTGCTGTGCCTTTAGAAATTCTGAGTGGATAAATGTCTTTCTCACAGAAATAAAAGCTCCTTGTCATTTCAATTATGGACTATTCCTGCAGTAAGGTCTGCTCAAAAGCTTGATTAAGTGCGCACGGTTTGAGTAGCCTAATCATTGGTTGGAGTTCCAGTTTGAGGCCATTAATAAACTTGCCTATAAAGAATCTCTCTAAAAGTGTGGGATTATCTGCATTCATGAGAGAACGTAAGTATTCAAATT